CGACGGCGTGACGCGGTCTACCTATCAACGTCGGTCTTCATAGGATTAATACTTTTATTTACATAAATTAACTTCGAAGGGTTGATACTCCGATGTACATAGCGTGATTTTATACGTGTATTCGGCGTTTGTCACCGTACTTTGTACTTATATAGCCAACTATATTTACATAAACTTGGTCAGGCTATTGATAAACTGTGGGAGAGGACCAAACTGTAACAAAAAGGTTTTCATTGCTAGTATTTGCTGTCGTAGGATTGTGAGCTTTTCAAAGTACACAGAGCACTATGCGCATATGTAAGAACACCCATCCAGCTTTTAACACGTCGATTATGACAGGCTCACAGCGCTAGCTCCATCCCACCCCACAGCGTGCGGCCAACGGACTGTGAGGCTGGTGGTTAGTGAAGCAGGCCCTTTATTAGATTTTTTCGGTGTGATCCCCCATCACTCAGCTTCACAGATTTCTCGGCGTTATTTTTAATCTCGATTATTACTGAACGTTCTTCTACAAAGTAAATACTACAGCAAAAAAATAAAATGCCAAATTGTCTATTATTTCACTACTTTTTGATACAAAACGTAGATTTTTGGGGCAAAGACACATATGCAACTTTCCTTCGTGTTTCTTCCCACGATGCTGTAAAAGTCAGATTCGAAAACATGTTTTCTACAGTGTACATTTCTACATTTTAGAAGAAACTTTATGTAGATTGGAGCACTAAACTTTGCGCAACCTGTGTGCTGGTTCTCTTGCTACCCTATAGATCTACGTTTCGTATCAGAAAGTAATCATTTGTAAGACAACTTGAGCGTTTTTCTGCAATGATAATTACATTACAGAAGGGCCTTGAAACTAGCAGACACGGAAAATTGGCCCCAAAGAACCTCCTGTGAAGTGTCGTGTAAAGAACTGAACCCGAAAGTTTCTTCCCATTGCCGGCATGACTAACCACTCCGTGCTACAGATTGCTCTCGCCGCTCGGAAGATAAGGCGGCGATAGCACCGTGGGCCCTTCGTGCTCAAAGTGTTAAGTCCTGGGTGACAGCGTGCTCACGTATGCGCACAGCGGTCTACGTACCCTGAACACAATCCTACAACAACACATGCTAACGATGAAAACGCCCTTCCTACTACAGCTGAGTCCTCTCTCACAGTTTATCAATAGTCAGATCGAATCCAAGCGAATATAGTGGAGCGACACAAGGACAAAGGATGGTGAAAAACGAGGAATACGAGTATAAAATCACACACGCAAGACTGAATCAAACATAAAGGAGTAATAAAGGAGGTAAAAGGTAGAGGACATGAGCGATAAAGGATTAAAGTCTTGACGTTGACCTGTCTCTGAGGTATGCGACATGCCTTCGACTTCATTAGGCCACGTTGTATGGATGCTGCCTTACTCCCACACAAATGTTGAACCAATTTTCTAACTTCAGAGGGATGGATGGCATGATGAGCCTAATCGGTGTGATCGAATCAAAGCGCACGTGTGCATTACAATGCACCTTAAATCACTCCGCTATACGTGGTCAAAGAAATTCATATCAACAATTAATGAAACAAAGTGATGCAACATCACAATACGATTTAACACAAATTTCCTATCATCGGAGCACTACCAGTGCTACATAGCAGCAAATTCTGAGTCAAGGAAAAATTGTAAAAATATGAAAAATGATATGACTATAGGAACAAACCTGAGCTGAGGGTTCATGTCCTGTTCTTTCGAAAACATGAATGAGCGTAGAGCTGAACAAACACAGTTAAACATTATATCGACGTTCGATAGCCTTTCAGATTCGTGGCAGAGCTGCAAGTTCACGATATCATCTACGCAGTAACCGCTCATTACATCGCTTTTTCAAGATTTTTGGAACAGAAAGCATCGAACCTTACTATAAACCTGAAATAAGGAACATACTTGAAGACACGGGCTGATTTAATATGTCACTTTTACACAGATCACGTGCTGCGTGCGACGAATTTGGTGCGAAATACAGCGTATGGCGAACATCTATAAAGGGAAATGAGCACGCTGTTCTAATTAAAACGTGCAAGAGGATTTTTTAGTAGACACACCTTCTCTTGTCGATTTGTAGGATTGCGAGAGAGCCTGCAAAGACACCGCTTTCTCGCTGATCTGTGAAAAAGAATGACAAAATAGACAAACAAGTACATCATCTTCCTTCGCAACGAATCTGCTCAATAGTCTCCTTTTCTTTGCATGCAGCAAGCCTGAAACTAATTTCTCATGTTGAGGTCGACTGCTATGAATACCACAGCAATCATTGAAAAGTGAAAAAGTCATAAAGCAGAAAATATAACTATAAGTTCTTCGACTCTTGCGTCTCTAGAGGGATTCTGTATGAATTTGAAACTGCCGGTAAGTAAGACCGCAAACTCATACTGAAATTTAAGAGCGTACAAAAAGGAAGAAAAACTGCTGAGAATCATATTAACATTAGCAAATAGACAATGTTTACAGCAACTTCGACGCTGCAGAAGCTTTAGAGAGAAGAAAAGTGCAGACAGAGCCTTGGAGTAAAACACCTAATTTCACACTTTTATGAAGAATCTCAGTGAAACAGATTAACAAGGAAACAAAACCGTAGACCATAACAAACGAGCAGACCTTAAAAAGAAGGGGAAGGGAAGGGGGGATGGGGGGGTCGATCGAGAACGTCAGCATTCCCGAAGCACCAGAAGACGGCACTACTGCAGAATAATAAATCGTTATTGTATTTGTTCTGTCAGGGCTGAAAAACTATTTCTAACATCCGATTCGTCTCATCGTTTGCTTGATTTCATGTTTCTCATGAACGTCGTAGAATACTGATCGAGCACATCTCCTTGCAATATCGAGGATAGCCAGGCCGGAGCGTTCCGCAGTTTCTTCGTTATTGATTGCAGGAGAATGTTGGGAGACTGGTGGATCAATGCCTCATCGGGCCGCGTCTAGCATCACTAACCACTTGGCCACAGCCCCAAAAAAGTATTTTAAAAAGCAGACAGGAGAGAGAAAAACGAAGAGTAAATAAAGGCAAAATAGAAGTGGAAGCGATGACATAAAGAAAAGCAAAACTATCGAAGAAAACAAAAGAGGTACAGGGATTCAAAACTGAAGTAACAGCCACTCAGCCCATTTTACAGAGGTCATATCATAATGATTAAGAAGTTATCTGAAATAATTATCGATCGCGAGCGCCGTGGCCGAGCGGTTGCAATGCTCGCCGCTGTGCCCGTGAAGCTGAACTCCACTTCCACCCCTCTCCGACAGTCAACAATACCCTACGGAACGCCTCAGCCTGGCTATATTCGAGATTCCAAAGAGACACGCTCGATCAGTACTCCACGACGTTCAAGAAGAAGACAAAACAACGAATTGAATGCTAAGAGTACTGGGATTCACATCCTGAAAAAAAAACAGTGTGAAGGCGGATCAATGAAGTGTCTAAAAAGAAAGAAGTACAAACCAGTCAAAATCTACAAGAATCAACCAAAGAGGTAAATCCCCGGAAATGGGATTTCTAAAATCTTTCCTCTATAGTTCCAAGATGCTTAGGAAGTTTTCACAGAAAAAAAAAACAAAGAATTTAAATATAATTCGAAATCGAGATTCAAGAATCACTGGTCTAACGTTCAAAAGGAGAAAAAATTATACAGGATAACTTAATGTAGCGTGAAAAGGATAAAGGATGAAGCGCTCAATTCGATCAATCCTTGAGGGATGAATCATTCATTTGATTTGACTGCACCTCGTGAGAGGTGACTGGAAGCGTATCTGGACAATACAACAACTTGTGGTGATCTAATCAGGCAGAATCTTGTCAACATTGGAAGGATGAAAATCATGGTGAGCTCGAGGCGAGCATTCGCACCAAGGACCTCGTGTATTTAGTGTGGTATGATTACCGGCATTCAGTGTACTCGTTGATCTTCAATAATATCACGTATTACGCCATGAAAAGGACTCTTTGATTACACTGCTAGGTCGTCTAGAAGAAGCGGAAGATAGAAGACTGGCGAAGCAAAATTTCGTAGTAATATCATAAGAAAAACGCAAGGATATGACTAGGCGGAGCAGTATCGAAGAGATATGTGAAATGTTATACTACAAATTGAAAAGCATAACGTACGATACACTGATTTTCAAACGAAGGTAGCTTGCCTGAAATACTCCCTAGGTAGCGTACAATTCAGTACGGCTAAGCACTGCCCATTTTCGTCGGTATAGCGCGGACTGCAGTTCTGTTATAGAGCGATCTCGAAGAAGTCTCCCACGTGGTTCATAGCTTCAACCATATCATTAGCCAGAACACAGACGGTCTGTGTAATTCACATTGATAACTAATTTGGATTGACTGTAAAATACACAAAACTCACTTGTGCCGCAGTTTTTGGCATACCGATCGCTTCTGCGCTATGTTCTCGAATGCCTTTGTTCATATAGACGTGACGCTCTCCAGTTCTAAAATTCTGAGCTGAACAGAAACAAGAAGTAGAACAGACAGCAACTCAGTGACGTTGACTGGTAAAAAAAGTAATGTTCATTAGAACCTACTCGAGTACATTAACAGTTCCAATATAGTATACAAGATTTTGAATAGATGCAGCTTCATCGTACTTATGCACTATCTGAAGACCAAAACACTGAGCGATCGTATATCGAAGACCTAACGAAAATGCGGAAGAACAACGTTCCATAGAGGAAAGAATTATATGGAATACAAGAAAACACAAAGTACCAAATCTAAAGCGAATTTGAGGGGACGCAAAAGGAGACAGAGTCGTAGCACTGATCTGAAGACGACGTCATTCATTGTCTCCGGCAAACCAAGCAAGAACTAAGACGAACAATCATAGTTTGTGAAATAAGAATGACTAGAATGAGGATATGATTCACGACCAAGCAAAGAAACCTATTCAAAAATGGCAAAAATAGCAGTTTAGTGGAACAGAAGAAAACAGCACCTTCAAACAGCTAAGAGAAATCCGACCTCAGACGGGAGTTGAACCAGCGTTTCATCAATACCAGGAACGTGTGCTACCTTTACACCATCAAGGCCAACACTAATTCACCACTCATTCTTCAATATCTCTCTATCGTATCTATCGGCCACCAACCATTAACAGGTTTGGGTCGCGTAAGCAATGTCGTTCTACCAATCCAGTTAGGCTCACAGTCATTGCATTTACATAATTCAAAATTTCTTATGTTTCTACAGCTTCTTCGTAGTGTTATGATGTTTCAAATACCCCTAAGACCACTGAGTGCTAAGTAAAAATTCGAAGACAGTCGCGTTTCATCCATACTAAGGACGCGTGCTTTGAAATAGCATTTGTCCGTCTATGAAGAACAATGTCACGAATCCCTTCTACCACGCAATACGAATCGTTCAGAGCTCTTACATTCACCATTTTTGAGTGAGCGTACGACAACCAGAGCCAGCATGTCGTGCATTCTCAGCGATAAAAAGTGAGACGTAACCACTAGAAGGAAACGCGGATCTGTCCCCTCATGCACTCTTTCCATCGTCCAATTGGAAGGCGTTCCACGGCCCAGTGAAACTGGCGACATCTCAGCAGCGAAAGTCGATGAAGAATGTGGAATAAGCAGCACCAATGATGCGTGAGTACTCGAAACCACACCATCAAAGAAAAAGAGAAACTGTCGCTTCTTAACGTTCAATTCAACCGTAACACCGATGGGGACCTTCTTCATAACACATGGGTTGCAATGAATGTGAAAACGACATAAGGCGTATTGAGCCATTAGGCGACATTTTGAATGAAGATGCATCAACTGCCGCTGTTCTTCAACATTTTCGCTTTGTCGTCGTAAAGTATCAGAAACTTTGATAGTCATGACATTGGACATGAAAATTATGAAAACTACACTGTTCCAACAAGATCTGGTGAAGTACTCCATAGAGTGAAACATAAACGTGGTCAGTCTACAACTGATTTTACATCTACGTCGCCAGATTCTCGTCAGATGAAAAGGCTCGCTTTACAAAGTCTGTTCAACTACTTGATGGGCGAGGTATTTCGAGTAGTACTTGATAGACTGCGCGGAGAAAACAAGTTTATCATTACTATCAACGGGTGATGAGCTAACTACTTGGATACCTCGATGGTCCGTCTTCACGAATCGTGCGGACAACAGCACATGAAAATGTGCTGGTTCCACTGTTTTGTCCCCTGGAATGACCAAGTAAGCCCAGACGGGGCTTCCTGAGGTCGTCACCACATTAGAGCAGTCGCCGACCATTGTGGATCAGAGAGAGATTACCACCTTGCGACTAGTACCTATCAAGATGGCGGTCGTTCCGGTTCCTTATGATTATAAAGGGAGCAGATGCAAAACTGACCTCATTCGCTGGAAAGGAACTTTTCATAGGGTTTGGATAAAGACTGAAGATATAGAATGCAATGAAGACTAGGAGGCTCGATCCACCTCTCGATCTACCGTGCAGTTCACGTGATTTACGCATTGCGCGTTACACTTATGGAGTGTGATCTCCAGATCAAACGAATGATGTAATACTAAGGATCTCCACAATTCCTACGCTTCGACAACGCACCTTCATATTAGGAAATCGATCGATTAGCATCTCAGCAGGTGTTCACGTGGACGCCTCCGCCAGTCGGGCCGCGAGTGGCCAACGGCCACCTTCCCGCACATGACAACCCAACTTGTTCTGCCTGCTGCGTTTCGGAGAAACGGTCTTTTCAGGATATAAGCAAATCGCTGGCATCAGAAACGATTCTGCTATCGAATGATTACAAATACTTCAAAGGAAAAGCTCTGTCTGGCGAGAATTATGCGCGTCTTTTACGCAAGAAATCTCCTCCTGTAGCAACGTCAAAAAAGGTTTTTTTTGGCATTGGCGACATGGGGCGGTAACCTGATGTCTCAGTTTTCGAACATTACGCGACCGACTAGCTACGAATCGAGTTGACCTACGCGACCGGCAGGGTTTTGCATGATTCGATTCTCTCTCTCTTAGCACTTCCCTCCTGAAAAAAAGGAATGGATTTGCACGACGGAACACACTCGGAATCAAACGCATTCGAATCCACGAAAGAAATCAGCGAATAAACGAGTTTGGCAAAAGAAAAAGATCTTATGGAAGAATACAATGGCCATGAAAAGCAACAATTGTAGCTGGGATGAACAACATGATGGAGAAAATGTGTACTATTGCCAATTCATTTCAATTTGAGTCAACAATTTTCAATTGGAGCGCGCTTGAAGTGTACTGAGTGTTTCGCGATCTAGTAGATTATGCATTTGGCATTTAGTTTTTACAGGATTTCCTCGGATTATTTGGAAAGCGCTGATTTATGGCAACACCTCTAAGTTGCAATACACTTTTGAATTTATGAGAAAGGCAGTCAATGGACTCGTTAGGCTCGTTCATGATCCAATTTTCAACGGTCCACCGATGGACAGAATTATTCCATCATATATTCTTTATCACCAAGCGTTACTGATTGTTTAATAACGAGTCGAATCCCTGCATAGCTTATATATATATATATATATATATATATATATATATATATCATATATATATATATCTATATATATATATATATAAAGGTCTATAGCAGAGGATATCAAATGTCTTCAATACGATCGAGATCCGATAAGGATTTGAAATTTGCAGTTTTCCTTCGAATCCACACTGAACAGTGGAAAAGTGAGTGCTCGGCTAACCGCAATGATGATCCTTATCGAAAGGTTATCTGGTTTTTCCCCAGTAACAAAGTTTACCTTTCCGAATCCCAATCACTCTACTACGTAAATCTCCTTTTCCTGAGTACTGTCATTGTTCTCTTTGAGGCCAATATTCAAACTGATTTGCTCCGGTCTATTCGCTTGTCACCCGCAGTGTTTAACCCTTTGTGGACGCCATTTCGGCTGGCGGCCGGTACGGACGGCTACGAAAGAGAGGCTGCCGGCGGCGGCCACATCCTAGTGGCGGTAGTTTGCTAATGAAATTCGTACTGATTTTTCTTCTTTAAGCCAAACGACGAGTGTTCATATATCTTTATTCATCAGCTGACGTTTCGGCAGTTCGCTTTCTTCAGAGTTGGGAAGGTGAAATTGTCTGCAATCCAATCACTCGAACGCCTCCATCACTCCTTAGAAAAAATCACAAACATAGATTTCAATCTCTCATTAAGCACAA